CTAGGGTTGCTGTAACAAAATACCACAGACTTCGTGCATTAAACAACAGAAATTTATTGTCTCACAGTTCTGGAACTACATGTCCAAGATCAAGGTCTCAATAGAGTTGGTTCCTTCTTTCTGAGGGAATGATTTGTTCCAGGCCTCTCTCCTTGGCTTGTAGACAGCAATCTTCTCCCAGTGTCTACACATCATTTTCTGTCTGTAAATGTTTCTGTGTTCACATTTATTCTTTTTATAAGGATACCAGTCCGGCTGGATTTGGGCCCATCCTAATGATCTCATTTTAACTTGATTACTTCTGTAAAGATTCTACTTCCAAATAAGGTAACATTTGGAGGTACTGGGGATTAGGACTTTAACATATGAATTATGGGGCAGTGGGACACAATCAACCCATAACACGAATCTTTTTGGTGATCGAAATAAAAATTTGTGTTTAAGCGAGAAGGCAAGGAGACTGCAAAAGACTGGATTGGGTGTTTTCACTCGTGATTTGGGAAAAAAGTAGTGCTGAGGGCCAGCGGTCTGAGATGATAGCATTCCCAAATGTGGGCAGGACCAGGAAGATGCTCTTAGTTGAGAATTGAAGGCTGCAATATTTTTAAAGAATAATTTGAGGATAAGATCTAAGCAATTAAATATAAGCAGAATTTGGTAACTATGTGTCCTGTATGAATCACTAAACAATTTTTATCTTTTTTATAATGTAAAAATGTATAACTTCTCTAATTCTCTTTCTAGGTGCTAAAACTCATTCTGAAAACAATTTGGCAATTAATATTATAATAGAACTTAATCCAACTCCTTTTACTAACTTTTTCTTTGATTGTAGAAAATTATATACAAAATCTCAAAATGTTTGAGTATTTTTACATGACTTTATCCAATCAAATTAAACCACATTTTTTCTGAGCACTTACATACAAAGCAAGATGCAGTAAAAAAATGTTTTTCAGTTGGAAAATTTTGATGAAATCTTCTCAAATCTTCCTGCCTTATCCACCATTCAGGACTCAAAAACAATAAGGTAAACTATATAAAGCTCTATGAGTCCAAAATATGAGCAAAGACTCTCACTTTTAATTTACACAGACATTTGGCATATTCTCTGTTGTTCTCAAACACTTCAGCATTAAAACAGAGAATTTTGCTGAGATGTTGCAAGGAATTAATAATATATGCAGATACAGTTGATCCTTGACCAACAGAAGTTTGAACTTCACAGTTCACTAATAGGTAGATCGTTTTCAACCAAACACAATGTAAAGATAGCATTCACAGGATGCAAAACCCATATATAGGGAGGGCCAACTTCAGGGCCGACTTAAGTATGCATGGACTTTGGTATAAGCTAGGGTTCTGGAACCAAGGGACTACTGTATCATCACATTTTATGAAACACTTTTGTTAAAATTATAGACTTAAACTTATTTTTTTAATAGACTGACTATTTAATAAGAGAATTGACTCTCCCTTCTGAGTCTCCCTTTGCACCCTGTCTCTTTAGGTTCCTACCACATTCTACCTTGCATTTTGACAAATAACACATATTTCTACCATCCTCTGCACTAGGATTATGGGAAGAATGTATTCTGTTCCCTTCATTTTCTGTGGGAGCTTCCTCAATACCTTGCTGAGTAAGAGTCACTACAAATGTTAACTTTGAGGCATTTGAATGTGAATGAGCAAAGCAACCACATGATGGCAGCATGTTAAAAGAATAAAGAATTTATGTACTTGAAACCATCCTTTTAATTTTTAAAAAAGGGTAGGAACAAAGAAGAAAAAGTTATACCTGTCTGCTTTGTGAATCCCATATTTCAGTCAACTCTTACAGATGCAGGAGATGAAGCTAAGCGCCCGGTTTTCAAATCTCAAAAACAATAAGGAACAAGAGGACAGTGAGATCTGAGTTCTTAGATTTTAAGCTAGAAGCAGACAGACTGACTCATTCTTTAAGCTGAGGAGTTTTTGGTATCCAGTATGGGGACTATTGGGTGAACTATAAAAAGCAGAATGATAACTTATGAATAGTGGCTAAAATTAATGTCTGGTAGTTACACAAGATGTTTTTGGTTGCTTCACAGATTACTGAAAAAAAAAATAAAACCAAAAACCTCTCAGTTATCTACATGTGTGTGTAATATGTTTTTTAATGAGTCACCAAAACCTTGCAATGATTAATTTGAACATCTTTGCCTCGTCATCTGTGATTAAGGATTTTTTTTTTTCATTAGCAAACAAGTAAGTCAACATTTGTTGAAAATCTCCAATTACATGATAATTGCCTAGTCAGGAAAGAGAAAGTGAGGGAAAGGTTTTGTACTGGAAAAGTCTAGATGGGATTAATTCAAGGCCCTAAGCAATGTCATAGACTTATCTGCCATTTTTATACTATCTGTTTTCTTTTGCATTGGCTTTATTCCCAACCACGCCTTCTTTTGTGATAGCAAACATGACGTTAGGCTATTGGTTTAGCTGCTTCAAAAACAGAGTTCTCTTCTCAAAGGTTTCAGCAAAAGTTCTGGGGCTGGCTCCTATTGGCTAGGCTTGTGTCACTTACAAATTCCTGAACCAGTTTCAGTGGTGGGAAGAGTAGAGTGCTCTGATCTGCTGGGCAAATCACTGGCTCATTGTCAGACTCAGACTTAAACCACTCCTCCACTTCCCCATCATGAACTGATAATGGAAGAACAGAGGTTTCTCAGAGGAAAACAAGGATGCTGTTACCAAAACAAGAGGAAAGTAATGCCAGGCAGGCAGAAACAATAGCTATCCAGTAAAAGAAATGGAAAAGATGCAATCCTTGCCTTCAGTAAGTTTATAAACTTGAAAAGAATCATGAACTGAATAAATATTATCGAAAACAATATGTTTAAAGTTGCTTTAGGGTTTTGAAATATTTATTTCATGTGATCCTTTCAAGAATATTTTAGGTCAGTTCTACTTTGTAGTTAAAGTCAAAGAGAAACACAGACATTAAATGATTTGCTTACCTGATGCTCATCATGCCCAATATAGAGCTTACATCAAAGTTGAAACTTATATTCATATTTCCCAAATGACAGTAGTTCTACTTGTATACGACAGTATGGAAGATTGATGAATATTTATATGTGGGTGAGTAGAAAATATGTTTATATTATATGATCTAATATGCAAAAATCAAGCTATGTTTGACGTGAGAAAAAAAATCACCTAGCATGGTGTTTCTTAAATTGTGTTCTGCTTACATTACAGTTTCCCAGGTTGTTTGTTATGAATTTCAAGGCTTCAGCCACCAATCAGAATATCTACAGATGGGGGCCCAGGAATTTGTGTTTTTTAACAAGAGGCTCAGGCGATTTTTACACAGTGATGTTTAAGAACCTTCAACAACTTATTTACCTGCAGCTTTAAAGAACATATAGAAATGAAAACAGAGGTCCACAAGAGATTTCTCAGGTTTTAAATCTTATTCTGGTCACCCTTCCTTTCTTGTTCTTTTCTCTTCTTTCTAAGTTGAAATAGTCATCAATTAGAAAGATTAAGAATTATACCATCATTATATCTAATTTGTGATCTTCCAAATTAATCAGTGAATAAGAGTATTAGTTTTCACAGCAAATAACTAAAACTTAAAACTTAGAATTGAAAAGGATCTTAGCTGAACTGCCCCATGCTCAGATAAGGAAATCAATTTCTCAAAAAATAAAGTGACTTGCACAGCTAAGCAATTAGTATTGACAACCCTTTTAGAATCCACTCATTTTTAAATGTCTATTTCATTTGGAGAAATGGCCATAAAAGTCAGTTAGCATTTATAATTAAAACTCAGCTTTAGTTAAATTTAATTGTGTGTGCAGCAGAGCATAGAATTCAATTTCGAAATCCTGAACCATATTTTGTGACTTGTCTTCATTAACAGTTATTGGACATTTCCTTTCTCTCTATTTGTATTCCTTATTTAATCTCCACAACTCTAGGAAGTAGGTACTAGTATGCTCATTTTGTAAATGAGGAAGCTGAGACATGAAGAGATTAAGAAACTTACCCTAGACCAGTGTTTCTCAAACTTTTTGTGCAAAATAATTACCCTAGGGTCTTGATAATTTGCAAATTCTGATTTGGTAGGTCGGGGGTGAATCCTGAAATTCTGCATTTTTAATTAGCTCCCAGGTCAAGGCCAACACTGTTGGCTTGTGGATCACACATTGAGTAACAAGGTTCTAGATCACGTGTCGTAGGGTCTTAACACTGCCCGTCTGACACTGAAACCCATGCACTTAACCCCTATGCAGAGTATGCATTGACCTTTCTCTTTACTATGTTGTAATTTACATCCTACAGATGGAACAGTGACCCTAGTTCTTGATGAACCTACATTCATGATACAATTTTACCCTTGAGGAATATCCAGATAAACAAAGCACTATAGGACCATTATTCTCATCCCAGAGGGTCTCTTCTACATCTGTCTTTTCTGGGACCACAGCTCCCAAGAGGAGAGAGAGGTGGCATTTTGGCATTTACATTATTCTTTGGAATCTCAGGGTTTCTCCTGCTCAGTGAATGCAGCCATTCACCTCTGACTTCTCCTCCTCCTCAATCCTCCCATTAAAAAAAAAAAAAAATATATATATATATATGTAATATATAACTATATATGAAATCCATATTTATAGATGTTGAATATATGTAAAATTCATGTACAAATATTAATATATGCAGTATATAAAATCTAACCATGCTTCATGCTTTCTTATATATGTTTATTTAAAAATATATATATATTATTTAGTGTGTATGAGCTTCCTTTGCTTCTCATTTTACTTAGTATTCACAGTTCATTTTCTTCAGGTAAGTCTTTTTTATCCTGTTCTTTGTTTGTGTCCCCAAACAATTCCTTTGTGGTTATGCTATAATTTTAACATTTACTAAAAAGGAAATTCAAGTTAGCCACTTTTCATATTATATTACTATGGTTAAATCAGCCTGGCTTAGAGAATTTCCTTTTCACTGTTTTCTTTCTCATCAGGTGAGGTAGTTTGACTGACTTGATTCTTTCAAGCAAAAGGACAATGGGAAATAAACCTGGGTGTTCAGCATAAAAAGAGCTAATGACAAAGCTATTTTTAGGGAAAGAGACTTCTTGTCTTTCCTATGTTATTCTTTGAGTCTCTTTGATATCTCTATTTTCTGGCTCTATCTTTAAAAGACAGCTGCATAAATCAGAATAGGAAAACTGGCTTCTGCACCTGGAGGGAGGATGAAAGGGAATAGGAAATGAGGAAAGTGGAAGGGAAGAATAAGGGACCCCTGGAGAGTCCCTACTAAGCCAGACATAATAAACAACAGTCCTCTGCTACTGGGAAAGTCAGAACACAGAAGCCATCAGGGGAAGAAAACGATGCTGCTGCTCTTGATGCCTCAAAAACGGCAAGGAAGATTCCAGGCAAATGATGTGCACATGCTTGGAACAAATCTGCTCCAGAAGTACAAGCCACACACTTCAAATTCATGGAATAAATGGAAGGTGAGTGTTCAATTCCAAGACACAGGACAGAATTGGGCAAGAGAGAGAACTGCTACTACTTTAAGTGATAGTTACCTAAAAACAGCAACCACATTGTTTTTTTCCATAATGCTCCAGATCTGTGGTCCCCAATCTTTTTGGCACCAGGGACAAGTTTCGTGAAAGACAAGTTTTCCATTGCCTGGGGTGCTGGAGATGATTTTAGGATGATTCAAGCACATTACATTTATTACGCACTATTTATGTTATTATTACATTGTAATATATAATGAAATAATCATACAAATTATAGAACTCACCATAATGTAGAATCAGTGGGAGCCCTGAGCTTGTTTTCCTGCAACTAGAGGGTCCCATCTGGGGGTGATGGGAGACAGTATCAGATTATCAGGCATTAGATTCTTACAAGGAGTGTGAACCTGGACCCCTAGAGTGCATAGTTCACAATATAACTTGCACTCCTCCTGTGAGACTCTAATGCTGCCACTGATCTGTCAGGAGGCAGAGCTTGGGCATTATTGCTTCACAGCCCTGCTGATCACCTGCTGTGTAGCAGGGTTCCTAGCAGGCCATAGACTGGTACCAGTCCCGTGGGCCGGGGGTAGGGACCCCTACTCTAGATTTAAGTGTTTATAGATGAAGTACTTTAGTTTTCTTGGAAAATGTATTGAAGATCAATTTATTCAAGGTTATCACTTATTTTTAAAAACCGAAAAAACTCAACCCCTGTAACCCCAGTAGATTTGGGAGAGTGAGGTGAGAAGATTGCTGGAAGCCAGGAGTTTGAGACCAGCATGGGAAACATTGAGGATCTCTGCCTCTACAAAACAACTCTCGAAGTTTTATATGTACACACAAATTTGGACTTCCTGAATTAACCAGTTAATATATTTTAAAATACACACATTAGCCTGAGGTAAATAACTCATCAAAATTCAGTAAAAATTATTACTTGACACCACATAGCTAGCTTTACATTTTCCAATCTTTTAGCCAGTTGCTAGAAATCACATAAACACAGTCTTATTTTTACAAATTTGCCTGAAAAAACTGAATGACTATTATCAGTTTCAGTTAATGTTTCTTTTTAAAAATTATCTTAAATTTGATATTGAGAATATAAAGCTTTTTAAAAATTACAATGCTGCATGGAAGGAATAAAAATAATGTTATAATGCTAGCAGTGTTCTCAACCAGCTCACTTGTATTGTAACATACTCTTACACTAAAGTATTAGAGAGTGGATTATTTAAATACAGGTAAAAAAAACGTGATATAAATGTCAGAGGTGGTGAAAGGAGGGAATGCTAGCAATTTTGTGATGGCCAAATAAAAACAATGTATTTATCAACAAATGAAAATGTGCAGATTAATTCTTATTTTAGACCTCTGCAACAGCTAGAAGTTCTCTGGATTCCTTTTTTTCTTTTTCTTTTTCTTTTTTTTTTTTTTTTTGCCAATCAGTTTGAGCTTATAAGGTTGCTCAGGTTAGCCTTGAACTGATGACCTCGCCTTCGCGAGCGCCATGACCTCCGGCGGGTGCCACTTTGGACCCCCCCTTTTTTTCTACTTGATGGCTAATGGGCATTGCCCTTCCCTGATGTCTCTCAAGGAAATAAAAGTAGAAGAATTTTTAAGGAGCATAAAAATTCAGCTCCCAGCTGTGTAAACACACATGCGCACACGCACACACACACACACACACACACACACACTCTTACGAAGTTAGAGAGAAGCTTATAATAACAATAACAACAAAAGCCAGGGAATGTATAAATGTAGAACCTCAGTTTCTACAGAATATTCTTGAACAGAAACTGCTAAACTACCGTAATTGTGCTAACAGAAAACACTGATGTCTGAGTGAGAGTAATTATATGAAGATTATAAAACTATAGACAAATCCTTATATATGGCTTTTCTTTTCTTTTTTGAGACAAGGTCTCACTATCTTGCCCAGGCTGGAGTGCAGTGACAACATTAGCGCTCACTGCATTGACTTCCTGGGCTCAAGCAATCCCCCCTCCTCAGCCTCCCAAGTAGCGGGGACTACAGGTGCATGCTACCACACCTAGCTTATTTTCTTAGATGAGGTCTCCTATGTTGCTTAGGCTGATCTCAAACTCCTGGCCTCGAGAGATCCTTCTGCCTTAGCCTCCCAAAGTACTGGGATTATAGGTGTGAACCACCATACCTGGCTACATATAGCATTTGTGAAAAAAATGTTCATAGTAATATATGCATGTGGTACAAAACAGAAAAGTTACGAAGTAATCAGAAATCCCTCTATCCTAACCTTCACCCACCCAATCCTCCTCCTAGACGCAACCACCATTGGCAATATCTTGAATATTTTTTCAGAGATACAACATGAAAGATTTTAATCTCCTTTTAGTCTCTCAGTTGAAATTTAAAAGGTTTAGTTTTCCACTGACTTAAGAACAACACAGTGGAACTCTAGTCTTGGATCCAGATCTGAAAACAACTTCCATTTATCAGTCCAGAAAATTGAGAATTTACTGGATTTATCACTAATGGTTCAGGATTTCTCCTTAGAATAGAGTTCTTTTCTCCAGCAACAATATAAATAGCTGACTTCTAGGAAGCTGTCCTTTCTTAATAGGCCCTATTTCATTAGTTCATTGCCTGGTAATTACAGCTGCTTGCAAATAAAAATGTAGAATGAATGTGATTTCCTTTTATAGGTTGAATGATATGGGTAGCCCCGGATTGTGAAAGGAAACAGGTTGCTCTTCGGCTTTTGTTGTTGTAGCCAAGGTTTCCCATCTGCTTTGGGTGAATTGTCACTAGCCACCTAAACACACTGATTAAAAAAAAAAAAGACAGGGAGAAGACACACATCTCCGTCCTGTGCAATGTTGATAAATTTATAGGGCTAATTAGTCATACAAAGTATCAATTATTAATACTAGCAGATCGTTTGAGTCTAAGAGCTTTAAAACTGATGATCCCTGTAAAACATCTATAATTTGCAACTATTTACAGTACAGCAGAAAGACCTCATGAAAATATCTATGGCTCTTACAGAGTAAAAAATCTGTTTTGTTTTGGCATTTACAGCAGTTAACTAAATGCTAGTGCTGTGTTAGTGCTCATTGCTGTAAGTGTGGGAGTAAATGGAAACAATTGTGTCAAACATACCATGATGGCGATGAATGACGAAAACATTACTTTCATTCCCTGCTGACATCAAAATTGTTCCAGGTGTCAAACCAAGAGGTGGATTACTGGGTGTGAAATAGGACTCTACAGCTGAAAGCTCCTTTTAATTTTGGCAGAACAAATAGTTATAGCATACAACCAAAGTATTAAAGGTGGAAGTGTCACGTCTCAGGATGCTTGCTAATAGTAATGGTAGCTATGAATTATTACCTTTAGTATGTGCCAGCAGGAAATTACACAGATCTAATCATGTTCAATACTTGTTTTCCTAGGTCAACCATGTAAGATGTTATTTGCCATTATTTATAAATTACATTCAAATTTTTGAATATAAAGCTGTCAATTTTTCTACTATTTAAACTACATTTTTATTTTCAAAGCTATCCACACACATAGCTTAAAAAGTTAAGTATTTCACAAGACTCATAATTTAAAAACAGCGTTCTTCTGTGTCTTCCCCTGATTATTGCTCCTCAGAGAAAAACAGTATTAATTCTCTCAGCTCTTTCTCCTGGTGTCTATCGCTGTATGTCTAAGAATGCTCATTTAATGCTGTTAATGCTATTTTTCAAATTTTGATACTATTGATTAATTTCTTATTTTTAACCCCTGGCCTCCTACCCCCTCAATCACAATTACCTTCTCTTTCTCTTCTCAATATAGCAACAGCTTCATTTGGCTAAACCAATGCTCAGTTTTCATTATGACCAATTAGATATCATTAATAGCTGATGCATGTCGTATATCAGGATTATAATTATTTTCTTCTACAACTTTGTTTTTTGGGTACTTACAATTGTACCTTTAAAAAAAAATGCTTAGTTTTCTGTGTGCCCATGGCTACCAGAGTCATCCTGTGTTGCTTCACAAAGTGTTGACTTCCTCTTAATATAATCTAACACAGTCAGGAAACTTGTTTCCTTATTGTCTTGAAGATACATTTTCCACCCTGCTGCTCCTATCTGGGCTGCTTGTCTTCCCCATCAGCCCCTCAGCTCTCTTCCTGGGATTTCCTTTCAAATCATCTGGGACATTTCCTTCACCTTCGTCCTGTCTGGGATCTTTATTCCTGGATCCCGAGACTTCCTCTTTATTGATTTACTCTCCTGTTTCGGGTGGGGCATTTGTTCCAGTAGCTTCCCGAGAGATTGCCTAGGAGGTGAACTTTGAGACCTCCCCCATCTGACAAAGTCCTGATTCTACTATCACATATAATTTATAGTTAGACTGGGTGTAGAATTCTAGGTTTGCAATACTTCATTCTTAAAATTCGAAGGGATTGTTCTACTACGTTGCAGCTACCAGTTTTGGTACTGACGCATCTGGTGCCTTCAGAGTCATGCTTGTTGGTATGTGACTTGCTTTTTACTATCCACCTCCCCGGAAGCTTTTTAGCATCTTCTTTTCTATATGTGATGTTCTGAAGTTTCTCAGTCATACGCATTTATGGGACTGTCTTTCTTCCCGTTGTGCTGGACACCTTGTATCACGGTGTCACCTTTCAGTTTGGAAATTCATGTTTTTTAGTTCTGGAAAATTTTCTTGAATCATTTGTTGAGTACCTTCTTCCTCTTCTTAATTTTTCCTGATTTGTTTATGGAACTCCTATTATTTGGAAGTCAGATATCCTGGGAAAAAATGTCCTAATTCTCTTTTAGCTTTTTGTTGTCCTGGTCTTGCGCTCATGTGGCTTGTGAACCTAATCGTCAACTTGATCAGTAAAAACCACTGTGGCAGTGCAAAGGCAAATTCAAAATTGTTATCTCTGGTTATTTTTAGTGTTTTTAAAAAATGTGTTTTAGCGATTTCAGTTTTGT